TTGTAGAGTATGTGTTGTGAATGACTCAGCCATAACCACATACTATTTTAGATTTTTTTACTTCAGTATACAGTAATGGAATAAGTGGTGGCTACAATGTTGGCCACCCAGTGGCGGCCATCTTTGATTGACTTTAAAAGTTACTGAACGATGAATGCTTAACCAGTAAATGTTTTCTTGAAGTTTTAATTAAACTTTGAACAGTGTTTAATTCAATGTTTGGCCAACAGACTAGTGGTTGACTTAGAAAAAATGTTTTAAACTTAGATTTTGCTCAATCTGTTGAACTTGGAATGACAAATGTAAATGACACTTATACAACAGATTTTAGCTGTGTCTGTAAGACTGGCTGATTTACTTGCATTGTATTCAAAACAACTCTGTGAATTTCATCAAAAATCCTCCAGTGGTTTATTAAATCTGAGTGACACAGGCAAAGACATAATTGCATACCTCTAAAAACAGACTGATAGCAATTTTAATTTAGAGCAACTTCATAGAGAAACAATTTTTTACTTGTTATTTTTTGAATACGTACAATAATTAACTCTGGTTAACATGCAGGCTGATTGTAAAAATAGTCTTCCACTTTTACCGTCGATAGAAAACAGATAGAAAATGCTCGGACTAAAAAAGCCTGACAGTTACATGTCGTCAAATTAGCATTTATAGATTTTAACGTGACGAAGGTTCTCTGATTTGCGGCAAAGGTCACATTTGCCCAGCTGGGCCAAGCTGGGTCAAACAGTACTTTTGAATCCACAGATTAACCCAAGGAGCCACGATGTCTGCTCAAGATCATAGCACCATATCTGCTGTTCCAACACCACGAAGGACACTGCAAGTCACGATGATAATAATTAATAAACTCATTGATTTTATTACTGTTTAATATAATCATCATAACTTGATCACTTGGTTCAATATAAAGGTATTTTAATTACATGAAATGGATTATTATGCTTTGTGTAAAATAATTATTATAATGTATAAAGATGTGTTCAGCAAACAAGGTCAAGTTCACCTTATCCAGCTAACACAGAGTCCAGATAAACAATAACTGCATCACATGTTTTTGACGCATGATCAAGCTTTCTTCCAGAGAGAGTGGGAGTGGTCTGAGAGCTTTTGGTAAAACTGTAACCATCACAGATTCACGTTCAGTTCTGGAACCAAACATCATCCTGAGGACCCAGGGACGGCCGCCCTGACCCTCTGCCTGCTGTTCTAGTCACGCCGACCAGAATAGCTAAAGAATAAACGAAACTGTCACCAGCTAACGAAGACTCTACCAGAGTCATTGACTTCTGAAGTTAAGTTAAGACGAGAACGTCCATCTGCCAAACGCTTGATAAACCGTGTACCCAGGACAACTCTGGACCAGACGATCGCACACTTGCGTCTCCTCTACCAGCCCTGAGTGTCATCTTGGATGAATCACCAGCCTCCTTGATCTCCGGAACCACAAGAGGGTCCTGTTTGGGTGAGGTAGAACACGAGAATGCGTTTGATGTTGTTTCTCTCAAAATAACTCAGTAATCCGCAAAACATTAATTCCATCCAGAACGCTTTTTATTCTCTCTCAGGGGTGGACATTAACTTCAAAACCAACCGACCAGCTGGGCCGGTAACTCTGAATATTTACTGGCCCCACCAAGAATCTACCGGCCCCACTGGTCATCTGCCAAAACGAGTCAAAATAACAACTGAACCTTTTTTAATGTAATAAACCTTTATTTTGTACACATCCACAAACATAATAACGTATTCAAGTTTGAATTTGTTTGTTCCCTCAACAACTCGATTTTGTCATCACATACTTCCGGCATACAATGCAGTACATCACCAACTCCGCTTTGCTGTACTCAAGCCATTGGCTGTGTTCGAGATGAGCCAGTTCTGCGCAGATTAGACCAGCGGTGATCGGTGCGCAGTGCATGCCGGTTAGATTTGTGTCCGAATTGACGCCGACTTGCTCTGACGTCATGCATACGTAGGCAACGATAACCTCGTGAGATCAAGGCGGCCGCAGATTTTGGAGCAAGGTGCTGCAGTTGCTCTCCCTCGGCTGCAAAACCTAGAGGATGACGGGAAACGCCTGGCTCTCACCTGATCTAAGATCTGATTGGTTCATATTTTGATCCAAACATCTGGTGGTAGAACATGAAATGATAGTTGGTATTCTGTAAATCATGTTATGTTGATGATGACAACTATATAGGCCATAAAGAGAAATTGATTTGTTTTCTTTTGTCACGTTTCCTATGAGCACACTGAAGCTACAGTTGATAACCTTTACTAATTATTACAGTCATGTCTTCATATACAATATATGATATCCACAAGCACGTGAGGATGTGTTTCAGCTGCTAACAGGCACCAGAATTAAAATTGAAAATTGAACAAGTGTGAACGCTCACGCGATATCTTCAGCTATCATCACCCCCGAGTTACACATGTAGGGAAATGTGTCCGGCTTTCAGCCACTCCCCCTGCTGCTTCCGTCTGCTCTCGTTGGTTTTCCAGGCGAGGCGCTGCTCAACTCGAACACGACCATTCTCTGCGCCTCCCATCTTCTTTAAACCGCCAAGAATCGTTCCACCTACGCACACGCTTCTCTGCTTCATACCATTTCAAACTCTCTCGCTTCTCCTCACCAGTTTTAAAGCGTTTTGCCGAAGATTTCATCAAGAAATCCCATCCCTGTGGCGGCGGCGGCATCTCCCTGCGTGCTTGTGTGTTTCTAGCGTGGTTCCACTTCATCTTTAATAGTGAACTTATAGTTCACGTGACTATAACTAGAATCGTGCAGTACGTGCACGAATCGTACAAGTGCAGTACGTGCAGTGCGTGGCTAGAGGCGCGCAGGTTCACGCGCGCAAAAGGAAAACGGCGGCTTCCCACAGGGCGCGGCCATGATGTAGGTGAAAGCCGGTGTGTAAATGACAAATAAGGCTTGGGCGCCACCCGGGTGGTGAGTCGTCAAGTATTTACCGCCCGACAAGAACATTTAGCGCCATTGGCGCTCGGGCGCTTTAAAGGTCCACCCCTGTCTCTGAAAGAACCCTTCTGAGAACTTCATTCACACACCCAAAACTCACCATTCTCATTTTAGCTCCATTCAGCCACAGGTTTGCTTTTAAACAAGTTTAATATCAAAACTGTTAAAAATTGTCATTAAAATTGCCATCCATGAATTGTCATTTTATAATTGTCATTTCAAATCTTTCAGTTTAGAAATTGTTAGTAATAAAATTTCTTCATTTTTAAGCTTGCCTCATTATTGAAACAAAACACAAAAAAGGTATAATATTTCTGGTTATTTGAAAGCAAAGATCCTAGCTTCTGATTTAAAATAACTTTTGCTATTAAATTTAATTATCTAAATTAAACATTAATCTTTGGATTAAAATTAGATCAAACAGGTTGATGTATGAATTTAGATGGATATGTAAGTATCCGGGATATTTATATATATACGATATAAGCTTCATAGGTTATTCTGGTTGGTCATTTTTCGAAATCTCCACTGCATAGCAACAAAGGTGATATCAGTGTGTAGATTAACTCTACAGGATTCACCCATCTTGGCTCGTAACTGGGAAGGCTGTTGTTGTTTTAGCGTCCAGGAGAGAGCAGAGAACGTCCCAGCTAGTAGAAGCTAACTGTTAGCATTAGCATCTCTACATTATGGCAGAACTCCTTCAGGCTTGTGGTATTTGTGTTGTTAGGGTGGTAGAGTCGCACTGCTGTTAACCAATCCGAGTCGAAATATCAAAATATCAGGAAGTAATCCTCCAAATCCGGCTCCCTTCTCTGGCTAACTTCTACATCCTGAAACAGGAGCACTAGAGCTTTTTCCCCACAGAGATTAGCTCACAAGGCACTTGGTCTGTACAGATCACTGCAAATGTGTTTAAAACTAGAACTCGGTCTTTAAATACAAAATGATGCATTATAGAGAGAGGTGTGCCAATAATGTGTAAAGTATTTTGTAAAGAGATGTTATCTAGTCATCTAGAGACAAAATAGTCATAAACATGTTTACAAGCACAAAAATATCATGCATGAGCCATGTCTGAAATGCTAACACCCCTCACCATTGGCTGTGAAGGAGCAACATCTTCAGTTCCTTACACACACACACACACACACACACACACACACACACACACACACACACACACACACACACACACACACACACACACACACACACACACACACACACCCTCTCTCTCTCTCTCTCTCTCTCTCTCTCTCTCTCTCTCTCTCTCTCTCTCTCTCTCTCTCTCTCTCTCTCTCTCTCTCTCTCTCTCTCTCTCTCTCTCTCTCTCTGATTTACATCATGATGGTGTGGGAGCCAGATTCTTATGACACTAGAATGTTCCACAGTCTCATTATGAGCTCGGCTGGCCGGCGCTGCTCAAATTTTAAGGCCAGCGGCCATCAACCAACTGTCACTTCGTCTCAGCCGTAGCCCTGCTTCCCCGTGTAAGTTATTTTACAGTTTGTGTGTGACTCTGTGTGTCAAGAGCATAGAAGGGAACACAGGAAGAGAGACGTTGCATCTGCTTGCAAAAGGAAACATGAAAAGCAGCAACACATTGGGACACAGAATCAACAACACATTCATTTTCTGGCAGAAACATGAACGTTCCACAGATTCTAAACATAACAACCTTAAAGATCTGAAATCTGTTCCTGTCAGAGCGCTGTACTCTGACAGCAGCGTAGTGGTGTTGAACGGGGCTCAGGCTTTGTCATCCTCCAAGGCTGGTTGTCATGTGACCTACGGACACCATTATCATGTGACCTAGATTTAACATTTTGAATCACTGGGTGGAAGCAGAATGGTGGATTTTGTCTGATCACATGACCTGCATGAGTGCAACCCCGAATCCATCGCCATACCCCTGGAGCCTTGTTGACCAAACCTCCCGAGGGGCCGTGATGCACACTGGCTCGGACACAGAGAAGCAGGAATAACGTGCACTCACCACACATTGTACCAGGGTGACAGCCAAGGACTCCTTTGTTTCTTCGCTTTATCCAAGCATGGTTTCAGTGTTGTCTTCTCCTTCGTCCTACCTGTTTCTCTCACCTTCTCGTCCTCCTCCCCCCGCCTTTCCCCCCCTTTAACACTGCTGTTCAGGTCCAGCTCTGTCACTGGTGGGGAGAATCCAGGCGACACACACAGTTAAAATACACCCAGACAGAACTTGCTTCAAAAGCCTAATGCGGATGGATACTCACATGAGTGCACGAGGAAACATAGATGACATCTTCGACAGTACTCGCACCCCCCCCGCTGCCCCACATAAACCCACAGCTGGATGGAGACTGGGGCATCGTGCCGTGCTTTGCAGATGATTTGAGATAACAGGGATTCACGGCAGTTCCTGACGAGTTTAGCAATCCTTTCTACTGATGCCAATGAAGGCTTCTGAAAAAGTCCCCATTAGGCCAGTGAGTTACAACCGATGTAATGTCTGCCTCAAGGGTGTTGGTTCTACCTCATCTGGCAGTGACTAAACAGAAGGGCAAATAAATCTGTTTTAGACTTGAAGAAAGAAAGTGTCTCCTCACATCTTTACATCCCACGGAAATGTCCAGATCTTCTCTCTGTAGTCATCCCAGAAATCTTCTAGAAAACCAAACCTGGCTACTTTTCAGGTCTTGTGGTGATTGGAGGTGACATCCCTTCAGTCGTCGTCTGACGCAGGCTGTCTGTTCAGCTGTAAAAATCCTTTAGAATAAAAAATCAGCTGTTCTTTCCAGAACGGCCTGCCAGCATCAATATTTAAAAGGATCCTTTCGGCTTGTTTCTGTCACAGTTAAGGTTTCCACATCCCCATCGCTGATTCGTGTCTCTTTCCAAATCTTCACTTGTTTCAATGTTTCTCAGATCCCACGTTTTTCAGGCGGTGGTTTCTTTTTAACCTTTTTGTCGGCTCTTCTTTCCTCTCATGGTGTCCTTTGGTCAACCTTCCTGAAGCGTCCTCTCCCATTTGTGCAGTCTTCAGTCATGCTCTCTTCCTTGTAGCAGAAGCAGTCCCTCAGGACTTGAGGAACTTGAGAAATTGTTCATTAAGCTGGCCTCTGTGACCTTTGCAGCTCCACATCCACAGCCTGCCCCACAGCAAACCTTCATTCAACCTTCCCTCAGCCAGCTTCAGTCATACCAAACGCTCAACTTTCCAAACTCACTCCCTTTCCTCCTTTCTCTCCCTATAGCAAGCTGATTCACTCGGACTATTTCCTCAACGTCCGAGTGGCAGCCACCTTCCTCTTCTTGTCCTTCGTCTGTCCACTGACAGCTCAATTCTGGTTAAGGCCACTCTGTATTTTCTCCATATTCTCCTCAGTGTTCCTCTGGCTCTCTCTCTCTCTGCTGCTCCTCTTGCATGCAGAAACACAGTGTCTCCTCTCTCTGCTGTGCTCTGAGTCATACTGCTCCCTCTCTCCTCCCCTTTCCCTTCCAGAAGCTTGCAAATGTTCTTTCATTTTTTTGGGACGCTCGTCTATCCGACAACCCGTCAGGATTCGTTCAGCATTTCTTTCTACCCAGCCTTTGAATCCTGCTGAGACAAACAGAAGGGTTGCCGGTGGAAAGACAGTGAAGCACAAAGAGAGTCACTTTCTACCCAACAGATAAAGAGAGTTTGATTTCAAATGCTAGCTTTGTGTTTGCATCTGAGGTAATTGTAATTTAACGTAGGTCTCCTTAAATCTCTGTTCTTCAATCTGCTGAAAGAAAAATGCTATTACTACTGTTCCCTGAAAACACACACATTCACACACAACCTGGGAAACAGGCAAGCTGGACAAAAAGGTTGTGCCTGAAATAAAGAGAAAGTTGCCCTCATGAAGTGAAAAAGTGACAGCAAAGGAGATCCTAATGGAGAGAGGATAGATGAAGGGAAACGGGGCAGAGGAGGAGCGGGCTTGCATGTGGGTGGAATGGAGAGAAGACAGTGGGATGGATACGGAGTTTAGAGAGCTAGCAGGGTAACAAGGGAACGGGAAGACAGAGGCACGTGGATATATGAGGGGATAGATGGTGGCTGGATGGAAGGAGAGGAAGATGAGCATATGCATGAGTTTGATGGACGGATGAGTGGTTCGGCAGGTTGGCTGTTCTCTTCTTCAGCTGTCACTGAAGAAGAGGCCTCATTCTTGTTTGTTAAAACATCCACTCATTCTCCTGTGTCTGGGGTATCACCTGTGTTTGACAAGGAACTGCTCCTCCCTTTCATTTGTTACCTCTCTCCTCTTTCTCTCTCCTTATGTCTGCTGCAGCCTCAGCCTGCGCTATCACTGAAAGGCAGCATCCCCATTCCCTCCCTCCACCTCCTCTTCATCTCTCCCAGTGTGTTTCCCTCATTTCTCTCCCTTCCTTACCCTCCATGTTCCTTTTCTCTTATCCCCCTCAGCCTCTCTCCCTCCATCTCATACTTTCATTCTTCTCTTTCTTTGTCCCTCCCACAATCTTGGTCTTTTCTTTTCCCTCATATTCTACCAGCACCTCCTTCAATGCTGGTTTTGTGTGTGTGTGTGTGTGTGTGTGTGTGTGTGTGTGTGTGTGCGTGCGTGCGTGCGTGCGTGCGTGCGTGCGTGCGTGCATGCATGTGCATGTGTGTGTGCACCCCTCCCCTAACTGAGAGAAGCTTCTAGAATATGGTGGACAGACTCTGAGAGGAGAACTCCCAACACCATTCATAACATGACAGCATGAATGTTCTGCACATGAAAACATTCATATCTCTCCAAACATGTTCACAAGGAGACAGCCTGAGTGCCGAAGGCAAAAATAGAACATCCTGCTTTTTACCTGAGTAGCATCTATAAACCAGCCACTGAAAGCACAGACAAAGGAAGAGTTTTTTTTTCATAAACCAACAAAATACTAAACAGAAAAAAACGAAGACATTCACGTGAGTTTCATATATCTTTAGTTCCAGGGCTTCAGCGTCGCATTGCCAGAATTAGACGCCACTGATCTAGTTGACTAGTGAGCTCCTCTAGTCCATCGGAAAACTAAGTATTGGCACATTTTGCACAATCTAATAGAGGAATCCATTGAAGCAAATGTGAGAAAAGCTCATTGACATTGGTAAATCAATATGCACACAGCACATGATCAGCTTTATCGAGTGGTTTATTTTACTGCCTAGAGATCCTGTCTTTCTTTTCCAGTTAATTTTTTAAATCTTTGCTAAATGCAAATAGTTTATATATCAATTTGTGCTCTAGAGGCCTTAAATGAAATGAATAGTATCTTAACAATTTGTAAAGATTTGCTGATTGTGGTGACTCTTTTTGTTTGAGTTATTTGAGTAGATGCCCTGTGAGCCTGTGTGCATATGAGTGTAAACCCGGGTGTGTGCATGCGTGCGTGCGTGCGTGCGTGCGTCTGTGTATGTGTCCATCCAGCTGGTCTAAGCTGTCCTTTTGGTTCCTAGCATCACCCAGCGCCAGCGCCACCAGCACAGTCAGCCAAATGAAAAGGATGCACGTCCACATGAATGTGTCTGACTGAAGAAATTTCATCAGAACAAAGATAATAGGTAAACATCAGTCCTTGTTTTCGATATAATTAGCGATATTTAAATTTTTTAGAATTTCACTTTATTTTTGAAATACTAACACACACATGGTGTGGATTACGAGTCTAAGTCGTGACTGTGTGTTTGGAAAACTTGGACATGATTTAAGTATGAATGATCAGAAACTCAACATTAAAATATCAATGACTGGGTGATACTAGATTAGATTTTCATGAGCAGAAACGAGCAGCAACTTTTTTATGTCAAACTTCTGATCAGACTGTAGCTAGTGGGTTTTTTTGGGGTCAGGGTCAGTGCCCCCCGCAGCCCATGTTCTGTCCATGGCTTCCCTTGTTTCCATTGTAACCTTCGCAGCTGATTGTAGTGATAATCACACTCACCTGCCCCTCATCTCCACCACCTCTGTATTTAAACTCTGGGTTTTCATTCATGCTGGTGGTATATATGTTTAGACCTTGTGTATGTGCCAGTGCAAAAAAACAAATAAATAAATTACTTTAAGTTAACCTGCCTCCTGCAGCTTCCTCAAGGGAAGTAATTGTGCAGATAACAAAAATGGGCTCAACAAGCTGCAAAAAACAATCATATCTAACAATTAGAAACTACTAAAATCATGTGCCAAATTTTGTACAACAAGGAAAACAATATTACTTGAATACAGACACGTGGAAATTTGAAACAGTAGTTTCAAATCAAATCAAATCACTTTTATTGTCACATCACATGTGCAGGTACACTGGTACAGTACATGCGAGTGACATTCTTGTGTGCAAGCTTCACAGCAACAGTTGTGCAAAAATACAATAACGTAAAAACAAGCTAAATATAAAAATGGCTACTCTAAGTAAGAATATGTATAGTATGTAAGGTATATACATTACTAAATGTGTGTGCTAAGTATTTTATTTTTTATTTTTCTACGTGTGTGCGTGTGATTGTGCGTATAATGCGTATATACTGTACATATTTTACAAATGAATAAAGTAAACAATAAAATAAGAGATATAAAATATATAGAGGCTGGTATGTGCAAAACAGTGGCATTAATGTACAGTATGGAGTGTGTAATGTTGGAGTTTCAGTAGTGAGGGTGAGGTGTCTGTGAAGTGTTCAGCAGTCTGATGGCCTGATGGAAAAAGCTGTCTCAGTCTGCTGGTTCTGGACCGGATGCTGCAGAACCTCCTTCCTGATGGGAGTAGTCTGAACAGTTTATGGCTGGGGTGACTTGAGTCCTTGATGAACCTCCCCGCTTTCCTCAGGCACCGCTTCCTGTAGATGTCTTGGAGGGAGGGAAGCTCACCTCCAATTATTCTTTCAGCACACCGCACTACTCTCTGGAGAGCGGTGCTGTTGCCATACCAGGTGGAGATGCATCCAGTGAGGATGCTCTCAATGGCACAGCGATAGAAGGTCCTGAGGATGCGGCGGCTAATGCCAAATCTTTTTAGTCTCCTGAGAAAGAAGAGGCGCTGCTGTGCCTTCTTCACTGTATTTTCCGTGTGCACTGACCACGTAAGATCCTCTGCCAGATGAACTCCAGGGAAACGGAAGCTGCTCACCCTCTCCACAGCGTCGCCGTTGATGGTGATGGGGGTGTGTATTCCTCTGCACCTCCGGAAGTCCATTATCATCTCCTTTGTCTTTGTGACGTTGAGGGTGAGACGGTTGTCCTGACACCAGTGGGTCAGGGTGCTGATCTCCTCCCTGTAGGCCGTCTCATCGTCGTTGGTGATGAGACCTACCACTGTGGTGTCGTCCGCAAACTTCACAATGATGGAGTTTCTCATGGCCGTGCAGTCGTAGGTGTAGAGTGAGTACAGGAGAGGGCTCAGCACACACCCCTGTGGAGCACCAGTGTTCAGTGTGACAGGGGATGAGGTGGTGCTGCCCAGTCTGACCACCTGGCGTCTGTCAGACAGAAAGTCAAGGATCCAGCTGCAGAGGGAGCTGCTCAGTCCTAGATCCTGCAGTTTCCTGTCCAGCTTCGAGGGAACGATGGTGTTGAATGCTGAGCTGTAATCTACAAACAACATTCTCACATACGTGTCCCTCTTCTCCAGTTGTGACAGGGCAGCATGGAGTGTCAGGGCTATGGCATCATCAGTGGACCTGTTGTGGCGGTATGCAAACTGTAGAGGGTCCGGTGAATCGGGCAGTGCAGACCAGATGAAGTCCCTGACCAACTTCTCGAAGCATTTGCTCATGATGGGGGTCAGGGCTACAGGTCGTCAGTCATTCAATGAGGAGATGGTGGAGGATTTGGGTACAGGGACAATGGTGGCCATTTTGAAGCAGGCTGGGACTACAGACAGAGAAAGGTTGAAGATGTGTGTAAACACTCCAGCCACCCGAGCCGCGCATGACCTGAGGACGCGGCCGGGAATCCCATCCGGACCGTTTCAAAGCCTTATCATTAGGAACAGCAAAGGACAAAGTAAGACATTTCCACACCTTTGACCCTCTACCTGGGGTGCCCAATCCTGGGCCTGGATGACCAGTTTCCAGCACGCTTTAATGTTTTTTCTGCTCCAACACACTTGATTCAGTGGCTGAATCACCTGTGCAGCATCCCATTAAGCTCTGCAGAATCCTGTTAATCACCAGGGGTCTCATTTATCAAACATTGCATAGAATCCTTACTAAAACCGTACTTAAGCTCAGCAAAATAAAATTTACTTACGCCATGTAGGTTTGTGATCTATCAAACATGGAGTACGCACATCTGCACGCAATCTCCGCTTCATAAATCGGAGACTAACGAGAATGTTTCTCAGCTGCAGTTTAGTCACATCCCGCCCTCACCACGCCCACTTACTGCCATAAATAGTCAATGCAAAGAGCCATGTGGATCTCATGCATACACATAAGCCGATTGTTGCAGCGCTCCACCAATGA